ATGAGAGAATGAAGGAGAAAGCTGGTGCATGCGTGCGTGCGTGCGTGCGTGCGTGTGCGCGCGCGCATCTAAAGCCTGATATATCTTATTCCTCTCAGCTCGTCAAACTAGTAAATTGGAGCCTCTTCAGCGGCGTCTGCCGGATGCCCAGCTATTGTCCAGAGAACATGCAGCATGCACTACATTGGCTGTGTTAATTGTTATGAAGGAATGTGTCTAATCTCCTCATGTCTTCATGCAGTCACTAAAGCGGATCAAGCGGTCGGACCGTCGAGGTGCAGAGTCGGTGACGGAGGAGAAGTTCACAGTTCTGTTTGAATCCCAGTTCAGCGTCGGGGGCAACGAGCTGGTCTTCCATGTCAAAGTAATCAGAAAGGACATTTGACCTTTTTTTTTTTTTTACATCTAAACTGGCTATCTTGCTCCGTTATTGAATGGTCAGCTGTACTCCTTGGCCATCGGCTACTGATTTCATCTCCACTGTCTCGATCTCCTTTGGAAGACTTAAGATACTTAAATGAAATTTCTATGATGCATTACATTAGCCGTGTATTAATAAATGATCCGTCACTGTCCCTCGTCTGTGACCCGCAGACCTTATCGCTGCCTGTGGTAGTGATCGTCCACGGCAGTCAGGACAACAACGCCACAGCCACTGTCCTGTGGGACAACGCCTTTGCTGAGCCGGTGAGTTGGCTGCTCATGGATGTTTCCCATGAAGACCTTTTTATACCTTCCCATGTCAGGTGGTGACTGCAGCAAGTAATGGTTCCCCCTAATCTTGAAAAAGTGCTGATGAAGGTCTTGAAATGCCACATATCTGGATTTTGACTTTTTGTTTTCCTTAACTCTATACTGAACATATATACTGAACATATTATTATACATTGTTACTCTGAATGGACAGCTTGTTGTGTTTTTGTTAAATCGTGTCTGTTACAATTCAGAGTAATCTCCCCATATCTTTTAAAACATCAGTCAGTGGTGTATGTGGTGAGAGACGGCTGAACAAATATACTAAATCTATAGTCAGGATCTGAGCCTCCCTGCTTTTCTCCCTCCGTTGTGGCTCAAGGGTAGAGCAGGGTAGTCCTTCAATCACAGGATCGGCGGTTCAATCCCTGGCTCCACTAGTCCATGTCGATGTGCCCTTGGGCAAGACACTTAACCCCATATTTGTCCCGCAGGCTGTGCTGCCAGTGTATGAATGATTATTTAGAGTTCTGATGGCACCTTGCATGGCCCCTGTCATCAGTGTATGAATGGGTGAATGATGACATGTAGTGTTAAAGCTTTGAGTGGTCGGAAGAATAGAAAAGCTCTATACAAGTACAGTACATCTATCGTTTACCATCCTCAGGGCAGGGTGCCGTTCACCGTGCCAGACAAGGTGCTGTGGCCCCAGCTGTGCGACACCCTTGATATGAAGTACAAGGCAGAGATGCACAGCGGGCGTGGCCTGTCGGAGGACAACATGGTCTTCCTGGCACAGAAAGCTTTCACAAGCAGCAGCAACAACCCCGAGGACTCCCGCAGCATGACCATATCCTGGGCCCAGTTCAACCGGGTGAGGCCAGCTCTTCTCCACAGCTCAACAACTGCATGTCAAATTTTGACACATTTGGAATGTAAGGAACTGTGCTTTCACTACAGAGCCTGTCCTCCCATTGCACATTCCAAATAATCTGACGCACACGCTAGGGGTGGCAGATATGACCTAAAATTATATCACTGTATTTTTAAAAAAAAGATTTCGGGGATGTCATTATATTACGGTATTACAACATTAAAGGGATACTCTACTCAAAACATGATTCTACAAATGTTCACTTTATTGGCAATGCATATCTTATATGCATATCTTAAAAAATAATATGTGTTCCTCCATGTTACTCTAATTAAGAATAAAAATGTGATTTAGATCTACATGTGCTTTTGGAGGAGTAGTAGATGTAATGTGATTCATCAGAGTTGTGAGTGAACAGTGTTGCTGATAAAGACTATAAAGCTCAGCAATAAAGACTATTCATATTACCTTTCCTATACCTTTTACTACAGCCCAACTGTGATTTACATTACACTTAAAAGAATTAACATCTTTGCAGAAAGCTGAAGAACTAGTACTGTACAAAAGACACATGGACCATCTGCAGGGCGAGTGTGTAACCTTTCAGCAAAAAATACAGTGAAAATGATCTCATGAGGGCTGACAGTAGCAGGCAGGCTGTGTGAACACATGTGTAGGAGCTGCAGCACTTCAGTGACACACACACACACACACACACACAGTAAAAGCAACCAGAGTGGCATGGCTTCTTGTGTGCATGTAAACATTCTGATGGAGAACGTTTATTTTACAGGAGAGCTTACCGGGACGAAACTTCACCTTCTGGCAGTGGTTTGATGGAGTTGTGGAGCTCATGAAGAAACATCTCAAGCCTCACTGGAATGATGGGTAATGACTCATGCTGACTTTGTTTTTGCAAGAAACTGTTGACATCTAACTTTAAGAAAATTGACTTGGTGGTGCCTACATGACCCACAATGTAACGGGACCACTGGTGGTAGTTTTGGGTGTGCTATGTAGCCTGCAGCCTCTCTCCTCCAGCAGAGAGGAGGAGCTACAGGTCCAGTAAGCTCACCTCTTTCTTACGCCACACCTTTTCCATTTTCTTTATTTAATGTTTTATTGACACTCGGCATCAAACACATTTCCATAAAATTTGTTTCAAATATTGTATGCATACATCATCCCTTTGTTTGTCTGAAATGCCCCATTTCAAGATTTGTGACTAAAACTATGTGTGATGAGGGAGTGATCTTTTCTTTACCATATAATCATAGATTTGCAAAGGCAAATTTTGTCCAATGCGGTGTTACAAAGCCCAGTTTTCCCAGCGTGACACAAACATAATTCCAATTTATGATAATCCTATGCTGTTATCTTCTCTTTTGTAAATCCTAATGTGCATTTATGCATTTGGGCTCTCCGGTGACACAATGTACACTGAACATAAATACTTTTTGTTTTTGCTCCCATATTTTACAAGTTCAAAATAAAAGATTGAAGACCTTCTCTATGTTCACAAATGGCTTCTTGTTCTATCAGTACGACTAATACTTCCTTCAACTTTGAAGAATGGGCTCTCAACATAAAAAGCACAACTTTGTGTGAGTTTGTGTGTGAATGTGTGTGTTTCTAGGGCCATCCTGGGCTTCGTTAACAAGCAGCAAGCACAGGACATGCTGCTGTCCAAACCCAACGGCACCTTCCTGCTGAGATTCAGCGACTCTGAGATCGGAGGCATCACCATCGCCTGGGTGGCCGAGAACCCCAACAAAGCAGGTAGCAAACTGCTGGGCTGTTAAGGCCCTCTGACATGGAGTGTCGTTCTAGTTAATGAATCCTTTAGTAATATAACAGAGAACTGATTTTTGCTCTGTTGAAAAGTATTTAAAACATTTTTTTTTGTTCTAAGTCGGCCCTTAATACCCTCTGTGTGCTTCTATGTTCACACATGATAAAGGTTGTATATGTTCATGTCTGCAGCAGTATCACGTTAACCCTCGGTCTTTGGCTAGGTGAACGGCTGGTCTGGAATCTGTTGCCTTATACAACCAAGGACTTCTCCATTCGTTCCCTGGCGGACCGCATCAGTGACCTGAACCACCTTCTGTTTCTCTACCCTGACCGGCCAAAAGACGAGGTCTTCGCCAAGTACTACACCCCCCCGCTCTGTAAGTATCAGCAACACATCACTGCTTTGAGCCAAATACATCTGCAAATAAGATCAATGACATGAAGAATGCTTTTTTTGACATTAAAGGTGGAATGTGTAATGTGTAAGTAGGGGGCAGCTTTTCACCTCTACTACTCGGTCCAAACAATCCATTTACAGTCATCAGTAATGAAAACAGAGAGCTACTAACTAACAGCAGGGCGAGGATATGCAACATTCAGCGGAGATGCTGCTCTCTTATAATCTTTGGCCTGTAGTTTACATTCGCCATCTGTGTGTTTCCATTGACACGAACCAGATGCCTGTACTATGAAACAGGATTTGGGGTTAGCGAGGTAACGTCAGGGGTAGATCGCCATGGTAACGCTGTTGCGGAACACCTAATCTGCTGCGGTGAAGGTTATGCTCGAGATGAGAGATTAACTCTCATAAAAGCAGCGCCTGCTGACCAATCAAAGCTCGGTTTATGGATCGATAGAAAATATTAGACAAATGCAAAGAATTTAAAGTCATAACCCAGAGTACGAATAACACGGTTTGAACTGACCAATGCAGAGAGGACAGCTGGCAACAAATCACTGAATGTCTTTAAATGAACAGACTTCTAATATCTTGCTTTATCTAAAGCAAGATAGATCTGACAATATTTGAGCCTTTTCTTTCAGCTGCAGCCACGGTGGTGTGAAACAGAACTCTGTATATATTCTCCTGTCACATAGTCACTGAAGTGTGTCCACTTCTTAAACCGCGTGTTGCAGTGCGACGTGTCACAGTCGTGTCCCACAATCACAGACTGGACGTAGTGTCTTGCATTAGTTTTCTCTGGTTACAAGTTATGGAATGAAACTTCTTACGCAAATTATATTTTCATATTTATTTTTTATTTGCCCCCAAGCCCGTTTCACTCAGCCGGGGTTACAGCTGAAAGAACAAGGCTAAAATATTGTCACACACGCCACAAGAATACATCCAAGCAACAAGTGAATTTACCAGAATACACACATTTATAGTCCGATCTATCTCACTGATATTATAAATTCGCACAGTCAGCGATTTCTTTTCAGCTGTCCTTCCTGCATTTGTCAGTTTAAACGAGAGTGGGCGTCGTTTTCTCCTTTCTGCAACTTTGGCTTTAATCCAATAAACAAACTAACTGTATTATTGAAAAGCCCGCGGGACAGCTCTACTTCTTGGTCCTCTCATGATGGACCGAGGACAGACTGGACACTGCAGTGACTGACTATCGTCTCTCCAGGTTCAAGTGGTATTACAAGACAGGACGGGCTGGGGCTAGCTGGTTAGCATGCTAATTACAGTAGATATCTGCAACACAACACATAGAGATGTGTTGACACAACATGCACACTGTAACCTTCACATTGTGTTCTGATCTTACACATTGCACCTTTAACTTATTTTCATATCATGTTTAACTGGTGTCTCAGCAGGCGTTAGAAGCGTACGCTGGTGGAGTGAGCTCAGTACATGGATGGCACTGTAAAGTTGAAATTATGCAACAACAATGTCGTTTTTAAGACAGTGTCTCTCTCTTGCAGCAAAAGCAGTGGACGGATATGTAAAACCGCAGATCAAACAAGTTGTGCCAGAGTAAGTTTTTATTTATTTTATTTTCCTCTTGTCCATCAAAAGGACGGAACTGAACAAGTAGAAAGTTCCTAAAGTTTAATGAGAATTTGGTATTTCAATCCCAAAAAGTCGATGCAGCACACCTCCATCTCAGTCAATGAGGGCAGAGCATTCAGAAAGTTGTCACCTCCCTTCCCCTTTTCACATTCTGTCATGTTGCAGCTTTATGCTCAAATACCTTCAACTCATCTATTGGCAATGTTTGCCATGCTGTTAAGCCGGGAACGACCCCCAGAAGCCGGGGGTCTTATCAAGGTTGAGGGAAAGCTGCACAGAGCAAAGTACTGAGATGTCCTGCATGAAAACCTGGTCCTGAACTGGCCGAAGGTTCACCTTACTACAGAACAATGACCCAAAGCACACAGGAAAGGCTCGGGGAGAAATCTGTGAATGTCCTTGAGGACAGACCTTAAAATGGATGTCCACTGAGGATCTGCAGAGAAGTATGGCAGAAACCCCCAAATCCAGATGTGCAAGGCTATAATCGCTGCCAAGGGTGCTTCAACTAAGTACTGAGTTCAGGGTCTGAATACTAATGTCAATGTGAATTTTTCTTTTCCTTTTTAATGCATGTGCAAAAACGTACTCTACTGGCTTTGTCATGAGGAATTAAGTGTAGGTTGATGAGAGGAAAAACTTATTGAAATCATTTAGCACGAGGCTGAATGACAAAAAGTGAAGCGGTCTGAATAGTTCCTGAATGCACCGTATACATGCCGTTTTAATTGTGTTGCAACTGCACAATGTGCAGTTTTAATGAGTTCCTATATTGTTAGACCATAAAAGCATGGAGGCAACTAACAGCAGCTGATATTGATGCTATGAGATCAAGACGAGACCAACAACACAGTTAACACTGGCTACTAATTTGGGATTTTCACTTTCCTGAAGCTTTGAATTTAGTTTAAAAAGAAATGTAGTCGGCCCAATACAAATTTTTGAGCGACGCCTGCCAGCCAAAGTGGTCAGTCAGTAGGGCTGGTGCAGACGTTTTAGTTGCTGTAATAACGTGTGGACATGTCTCTGGTAGATTCACCACCCCCAACCCTGAACCCAGAGGAGGAACTCCTACGTTCATGGACCAAACAGCTTCTCCCTCTGTGAGCCTCCCCAACAACTTTGGTGTCTACCCTTCTATGTGAGCACTCTCTTTGACATCCGTTCACTCCAGAGGAGACCCTGCACACGCTACACTCAAGGGGGTCTCTTTTACTTCATTAAGAATACTTTTGATACTTACATTTTGATTATAGTATTGATGTACTTTTGCTTATTTGTTGTGTTATAGTATTGCTGCTGCTACTTAAAGTGGCTATAACATGTATATCTTTTTTGATAATGCATGTATAAATGACAATGTGACGATCAGCTGCAGCTCCTCTTGACTTTACGGAGCTTCACAATGAGCTTCAGCTTGTTGTTCAGCTGTCGGGTCTGAAACGGTTCACTCTCACCGCTCTCACAGCGTTGTTTGGTTTTCAGAGACAAAGCTGTAAAAACTCTGTACTCTACCCGCTCAGCAGCAAGCAGCAGACAGACACAGATGGAGACCAGCTGGGGGAGTTGGTAGAGACCAAAACTTACATTCATCATGTGAACAAAAACACTGCTCTTGATAGATGATAATGTTGCTCCGTAACTGTCTGTAAACAAGTACACCATCCATTATCTGAACTCACAGAGATCCGATAATATGACAGATGTTGGTTTGAGGTAGTAGTTTCTGGTTTATATGTTTTGTTTTGTTATTTTGAATGTACTGTGACAGATTATATACAATACTGTATGTGCTAGCTGATATATATTTTCCTTCATGAAAGTGTGGCCCCTGTCTCTGCTGTTGTCCCGTCAGGAGTGACACCATTCTGGATCCAGATGGAGACTTCGACCTGGAGGACACGATGGACGTGGCCCGCCATGTGGAGGAGCTGCTCCGCAGGCCTATGGCCAACCAGTGGAGCAGTCAGCAGTCCTGAACCTGCCCAACACCTTCAGGTCTCCTCCATCTTATCTTAACATCTTAACAGAAACACCCACAAACTGCAACTTAAATGCTGAAAAATGTAATCTCTTCTCTACTAATGGAAGTCATTTTTATTAGTATCTAGTAAATCCAGAAAATTCTTTAAGTCTTAACGTAAGACTATGTAGCTTTTGTTAGCCTCTGTGGTATTCAGAGGATGATGGCAAGTTCAATGTGCCTTCATTTCCCAAGATTCTCTGGAGTCGGTCGTCTTAAAGACGTCCTCATTAGAGGAGCTGTGTGTGGTACAGTGGAGCTGTTGCTCTGTCATTAGCTTAGCGGTGACTTCAACCTTAAGACAGGACTAAACCTGTGTTGTTGTTTGGTCTAAACCCAGCTGCTGTGTCCTATGGAGGCTTAACTTAGACCTGCTGTAGGCCAGGTTTAACGTAAATTTACCTTAAAGGTATCCTGTGCAGTTTTTGACCACCAGTAGCACTCATGTTTTAATGAATGGGTCCCCATTAAGGGCAACACAATGCAAAGATCTGTTAATGTTGTAGCGCTTTCAAACTGATCTTAGAAACGCACTAATGCGCCGGCTAAGGCATGCCAGCAACTAAACATGGATGTAAACAATGCAGGTTTGTAAAACATCTGCACGTTTTATGAGGAAATTCATTCAACACATTAGTTGGGTCTCAAGTATGCACACACCAATTTCTTTAATTCCCCTTTTCTGAGAATAATGAGCATCCAGCAGTGTTCTGCTGAGTTTCTTAATCATCCTCGTATCGACACAGCAGTCGGGTTCAGCTGAGCACAAAGCTGTGTTTTAAACACTCTGCAAGTTCTGGTTCAGCTGAACCCGTGCTAACAGCTAAGCTAGTCAGAGGCTCGGTGACGCAGCAGCTTTGAGTAAAACCACCAGGATGTTTTCTGTAGCATGCTAATACATAGCATACATTAGCTACAAGTCACACTAGACCAGACAAACTATTGTGTGTTGAGCTGAACAAGGCTGAATGTATCCCACATGAACTCAACCTCTCGTAAGAGAATGATTTGTTTTATTCTTTCAGAGGTTACATAGTCTGGTTTCAAGTACTGAAAATGGAATTCTAAATCTGCTACCGCTATTGTTTGGTTCTTTTTGTATATTTCATAATATTTTATATTGCTGCCATTCTCTGATGTTCTGGATCTACAGTGCCTTAAAGCAACATGTTCCAATGGTCACAGACATGGATATCTTCTATAGATGCCATCATTTGGTCTCATGAAGTCAATGAGTGCTTATTGATTTTCACACTTTCACAAGTCTGATTTTGTTTTGTTTTTTATTGTCAGATATAATTTTTAAACCAAATGTTGGTTTATTATGATCATTTGAACTGATACTGTCATTGTTTTTTACTTTACTAAATATCCTAATATCCATTAGAACATGAAATGCATCCTTGTGGTTTACCAGTAAAATCTAATTTTACAGTTTGAAAATAAGTAAATATTGTCACATAAAATCTGGGGGTGGCAACGATGGACAAACCAGCAAGAGTGCGCTAGATTTAAACTGAGAGCCAGCCCAGTGTTGCCAACTGTTTCCCAATGAAAGCAGCTAGCAGCACTGGCTGTAAAGTCACTAAATCTCTCAAGTCATCAACACTGACAGCCGTCCCTTCAGGCCATAATGATCATTATGAACGTAAACGAGGAACACGGCTACTGTTGGTGCTCACAGCTGGTAAGCTAAGAGCAATGAGTGAACGCAGGTAGACAGACAGACAGACAGCAACCCAGCCAATCATTACATTCGGGACGAATAAAGAAGTTCAGAACTATCCCATACATATTAATAAACATTAATGCATCGTAGAGTTTATCCATTTGTTTATGAAACTGCTCACTCATTGTAACAATCTGTTGTCTACTTATTCCACCTCCATCAGGATGAGTTGTTGGCCTCGCGTCAGTGCAGTTGTCCTTTTGAAGTGTGTTTTAGAGCCATGTTTCTGAACCCAGTAGTGGTGTTTAAAGGACTGCACTCTCTCCGTGAGTTATTAATCATGATGTAACCCAATGAGTTGAAGTGGCCGCCATGTTGTTTCAATCCACTAATGCACTGAATTAGCTGCCTGACACATTTCTGTCTTAACCCATCAGAGCTTGACACTTCACCGAGAGCCGAAAGGTAAACTGAATCATTTTCAACAACAGGCTGATAGAATATTTGAATCCAGTCCTGAGCAGCTGAACCCAGACCCAGTGGGTGACAAACTGATGTGCATGAGTGATGCACTGAATCAACTCCAACATCTGATATTGCTTTCTGGAGGTCGGACTGTGACAGTTGCCGTGACATGTTGATGGAGGATCTTAAACATGGGCCATGTACTAATATATGTTGTCAAATGGAACCTTAAAGTTACTGTGAGGAACTTTTAACTGGTTATGAAACTGTCTCAATTTGATACTGATGCCTCTAAATCAGTGATTCTCAACTGGTGGGGAGTGACGCAAAAGTGGGTCGCGGACTCATTTTCAGTGGGTGGCGGGCCTTTGCCTGGAAAAAAATATATATATTTTGAAGGGGATTTTTATGTAGCAGAGTGCCTTCTATTCACACTCCTTAACAATATTTGGCCTTGCCTTGTAATGAAACTGAAAACTGTACCTCTATCAAATGACACTATAAGTAGGTGAATTGAAGACATGTCGGATGACATCAAACGGACCACAGCTCAAAATATGGCAAGTGGTCATTTTGCATTACAAATGGTCGAATCTACAGACATAACAAACAAAGCAGTTTTACTCATTTACGTGAAACATGTGTGGGACGGGGACTGACAGGAACAATTTCTCTGCACAAGGACAATTTCAGCTCAGGTTCAAACTGCTCCATCTTTACATTAAATACATTTGAGAAGTTGAAAATGTTCCTCGATTTGGGTCGCGGCTTGTCATTAAGGGGTGATGGTGGGTCCTGCAGCCAGACCAGTTGAGAACCACTGTTATAAATGACCTTCATGAGTAAACGAGACCATTAGAGAGAAGATTACAGCTATTCTTGATGCTTGTCGTCGGTGATGCGGTCATGCATGTTCACCAGAACTCCAGTCCACCCAGATCCGGCTTCACTGCAGCCTTTGACCTGCAGTCCCAGAGAGAGGAGGAGAGCAGCAGCGTCTACTCCTCCTCCAGGAGCAGAGCTTCTCATTAAATTAGTCATTTAGCGGATGCTTTCATCCAAAGACTTTCAGATTCTATCACACCGTAGGCACAACTACGGGAGCAATTTTAGGGGTTAAGTGTCTTGCTCAAGGACACATCAACATGCGACTAGTGGAGCCGGAGCCGGGGATCGAACCATCGATCCTCTGATTGAAGGACAGCCCTGCTCTCCACTTACACTTAGCCACGGTTGACCCCTCCACGGTCATTCTCTCTGCTCCTCCGGTCCCCACTGGGAACCGACACCACGCTGCCGGAGACCCAGGCCGTATTGAAGGGCCCGCTGTAGGAAATGGATGCTAGGGAGAACCTGAACCAGGACTGATCGTGGTAGACTCAGACCCCTGCTTCAGTAAAATGAGTGCTCATAAACACTACCACCTTTGTCCACAGGGACCGCCAAAATCAACACAAAAGGGAAGTTCCTCGTAGTAACTTTAAGTTCTTTGTGTGTGCCCAGTCAGTGGATTCGTTTGGGAGAATGCTCATACCTCATACTTTGTAATACTACTTTCAGTCAGAAGTAGTGTTGATCATGTGTTCATCACTGCTGAAAGTGCCTGAGTCTAATCGTTGTGTCAGATCTGGATGAATTTCATCACCAGGCTGAATCCTGCTCTGCGTACAAAGCTTTTTTTCTACATTCTTAGTAATGATCTTCAGTAATTGTTTGGTATCTGTGACGCCTTAGTTTGGAGATACGGAGGTTCTGCAGATCTGTCTGTGCCTTGTGGGTTGTTAAGGGACATTTTAAACCATCGCCATTCACGCTGCACTACTACTGTACCAGCCTCAACCTAGGAATGTCTTCTCCCTTTTAGCAAACACAACTCGCCCGGGATGAAAGTTAACACAGTAAACCTCAAGAAAACTCACTGTGAAATAAATGGTAAAAATCAACCAAATAATACCTGATGACTGGAGTGTAGATGGGAGGCCTTTCTAGCTCTCACCTTTGCCTCTTATGCTTTTTGTTATATCTTTGGTAAATAAAAGCTGAAACACAAACTTGCAAAAGCGAACACGCACTTTGATGCTCACACCAGCAGTAAGCTGGATGTTTATGCTAATTCAGTCTTTGAATCAGCGTGATGTACGTTTGTCTTCAGTGTAATTAACTTTTCTAGCTCACTGCTGCTGTGTGTTGGCTTCTGTGCAGCCTGTGGTCTGTATGGGAGCTTTGTATTTACTTCCACGTGTGCAACATTTTGCTGGAAGTTTGATGTTGGGATTTCGGACTTGAAAATAAAACTTTTTTTTAATGAATTGTATCCCACTGTGGTTTATTTGTTATTGTTTTGTATCGTCCCCCTGTTCCAAGCACTGTACTGTCAAGTGTCGCTTCAGAGTCCGATACAATACTTGTCCAGCTGGAGACCACTTTGCACGTAGGTTTTGCACCTTTTGCATTCTAATTTAGAATCATTTCTTTTTTAGACTATTTCAGAGTTTATTTTAACCTGCGTTCTTGTAATGAGTTGAATGAATGCAGAGCTGAGAGTTCACTCTACTCAATAAGTACAGTTTCTAAACATGATGAGCATATTCAGATTTCTCAGCATTCACTGTTTGAGAAAAAGAGCCTTCTTTTTTATTGTTTGAAGAAAACGTACATGTATGATGGAAATGTGCTGTGTGTCTGTAACACATGCTAAGCTACATCATGGGTTTTCACAGTAGTAATAACTAAACTATGGTGAAGGTTAGTAGTGATTGATATTGATGAGTGGAGAAAGTATTAAGCTCCTTCACTTAAATAAATTAAAGATACCCCATGGCACGTAAAAGTACTGCATTCATATTTTTATGTAGTATCACCAAATATACTATACAAAGTACTTGTTCTGCAGAATGGCACCCTCAGATGTCTATGTATAATACTTAATTTAATGTAATGTGTATATGTAAAGGGAAGAAAAGAACAAGAACTTGAAAATTGTACATTACCACATTAACCATAACATGGATGCTGTAAATACAATATTATATAATAATATAGGTCTGCAACCTTCAGTAAAGATGTACATTTACAGGAAGTAAAGTACAATGTTGAGGTACTCAAACTTTCTTTCTACATTTAACAACTAAAGTCACTAAGATGTTACACAAATAAGATATGATCATCTTATGTAATCTACAAATAAAGATTACATGATCAATAAATCATAACACTGTGTGCTGTTTTCCTTTAGCTGTCGCATGCGATGTCACTTGATGCGAGAGTTGTTTGCTTACGGGGTGTAGCAGTTGTGTACTCTCTTTTGCGCTGTGTTTTGATTCAGGTACACTTGATATCTTTTTGGACTCCAACCAGCGGTTTATTCACTGGACAGCATACAGTAGACACGTCTGGTAACAGACAGAATCATATCAGGTGTCTCACAGCCCACCTCGTGGTAACGAGCTCCGCGAACTGCCAAAGCAAAGAAACGCATGCTTTAGCTAGCTGTTGGTTAGCATGTTACTAATGCTAAATGAAGTTATCAGTGTAAAGCAGCAGACTGGTCACCGAAAGCGGGGCCAACCACTCGAGTCTGCAGGGGCCCAGCAGGGGGCGCTCACAACACACTTGTCTCCGTGGGAAACTAATGATACTACATTGTAAATGATATTTACAGAAATAAAGGAGGAAATAACATGAAGATGATATGGATTAGTAATAACTTAAATTCACAGTAAAATGAGCAAATAATGACCAGTGATGGCAAGTGGAATTGTTAACTCTGTTACATGAGCAAAACATGTATGCATGTGCCCCATCGAGCTGTTATCACATTTGAAGTGAGGACTAATGGGGGAGTAACACGTAGATATTAGCCTCACAACTACGTCAGCTGTTATCAGAAGAACCTGTTTCTAGTATGTACTCTCTCTGTCCCTTCGCCTGGATTTGCAATTGGAACACAATGAAAGAGTAGCCCTTAAACAAGCTAACATGCTAACCATCTGTCCTCGTTGGTGTTTTGAACTTTGTTTCAGGAGTGATTCAATGATCCACCAAGTCACAAGGTTTTCACCTTGTGCTTTTACATGATCACATGGCATCAAGCCTGTACCTGAAATCAGGCCACTTCTGTAATATTTCTATCACGTGACAGACTGGTCACATGACAAACAGTGGCTTCTCAGAGGAATTTGTTTTATGGGAACTGCCTCCTCTGATTGGCCGTGAGTTATAATCGAGGCTGCACACTCTCTCTGATTGGCCAGCAGAAGCAGCGCTTCCTGGTTCTATGCAAATGAGGAAATAGAGTTGCTTTTAAACCTGCGCTACGGTGGGAAACTCTGGCTTCACTTGACCGGGGGTTCAAAATGTCACCTAGTAGCAGCTGTGCTCCGGTCCTGGTCGTCGTGTTCTGTCTTTTTGTAACTGCCTTTTGTAAATTCCCCTCGTTGGACCACATCAAACCGAAAGCCAGCGACGAGGCGCAGGGCAGAGCGGTGGTGGAGCTGCTGAAGCGCCTGCTCGGGACCAGGTCCACGGAGTTCATCGTGTCGGTCAACAGCAGCCTTTCCAACGACAGCCTGGATGTGTGTGAGCTCAGGTCCACTAAAGACAACAAGATAGTCGCTACGGGCAGCACCGGAGTGGCCGTGGCTTCCGGCATTTACAACTATCTGAAATATTTCTGCAACTGTCATGTTTCCTGGTCCGGTGACCAGCTGGATATGCCTCGTCCTCTGCCAAAGCTCACCGGCGTCCTGCGCATCAACACCCCGCATAGGTCAGTGACCCGCCGTGTATACTGGCTCGTACGTTAATGCACGTTTCCAGGACACCGAGCAGAGCTTATCTCACTGAAATTCAGTGGAAATGTTCGACTTTTCACATTAGCAAAGTTTAGCAATACGACACCCGCTCATGAGTGAGTATGCAAACTACTACACATCAGTTACTAGCAGCCAAATGACTACT